GGAGAAGGAAGAAGAAGAAAACCACCTCCTCCTCGGAGGTCGGACCTCGTGGGGACCTGCCCACGAGTCATGCTGATGTGGTGGACGACCCCAAAGCTAGGATGGGGGGACGTCTGACGTGAAAATACGGTTCCGAGTTGAACTGTCAAGCTCCGGGGTGAAGGACCAGGTGTCCCACATCTCGGCGTCATGCTTGGACCACTGCCTCCGTAGGGCGTCCAAGTTTGTAAGCGACCCAGGGTCCGTACTGCAAAGGACCATCGACCACGCTGCTGAGGTTAGACCTGCTGCCTTAATTGTTTTTATTTTTACAACTTGTAGCTCGATCTAACTCTCGTGGGATTTATTTTTGTAGGCGTTCATTGCTTCCATTCACTCTGCAGTCATGATGAAAGCCGAGCTGGATGGAAGGGAAGTCATGGCAGCAAAGGAGAAGAAGAACTACTCTGCTGCCTTGGAAGCTGCCACCACGATGAAGGGCGAGCTGCTAAAGGCTCGCTCTGAAGTGGACATTCTGAGGGCTGAGGTGGAGGCCAAGGCTCGGCTGCTGAAAAAGGAGGACGACAAGCATAAGGCCCAGCTTCGAGCTGCGCGCTATCACCAAAGGGCTGGAGAATGAGAAGTTTCAGCTTTTGAAGCAGAAGGATGACATGCTTCAAGTCCTAGAGGAGAGGGACGCCTCAATCAAACGCCTCACTGCCAAGCTCAAGGTGGAGAAGGAGCGTCTGAACAACGGAGTTCTTCTGGAGGCGGCGTTCAGGCAACACCCAGACTTTGACGGGTTTGCCAAAGATTTCAGCGATGCAGGCTTCAAGTTTTTTATAAAGGGCATTGCTGCCGACATGCCTCATCTTCAAAACGACCTCAGCGATCTGAAGAAAAAGTACTTTGAGAAATGGGCCTCCGGGCCTGATGGCACTCCCAGCCCTCAATCACTGGTGGAGAAGTATGTCAGAGAGCTGGACTCTGACTACTCTGACTTGGAAGATGAAGATTCTCCTAGTCAGGAGCATGTCGAGGTCGACACTACACAGGAGGAAGTCCCTTCGCAGCAGGGCGGGTCCCAGGAGGTCAACCTTCTGGGTTCCCAGGGTGAGTTGTCCTCTCACCTCGGGAGTAGCTGATGCTTCTTGTCTCTTCCTTTTTTTGTAATGCTTTTCCACTTTTATTTATTTTTCTGTACAAGTCTTTGGGCAGAGCTACAAGGTACATAAGCCTTGGCTCTGTCCTTTTATTAATGAAATCTCTACTTCTACAACTCTGTTCACTGAGCTCTGTCCTTTTCTTGATTTTCCCTTGAGCTTTTAAACTTACTTTTGTAGAGTTGATCGTATGTATGTAGTTTCATCTCGCACCTCTAACTCGTAAGTTTAGAGGATTGAGTTTAGGAGGAACTTCGACACATCGCACCTTTTACTTCTTTAAAGGTTTGAATTTGAAAGTTTCCTTTATTAACTTCAACATTTCTCCTCGAACTCGGAAGCCTAAAGGATAACATTGAGCAGTCGAACTTTCCACATCGCCCCTTTAACTTAAACGTTCAAAGGATTGAATTTTAAGTTCATGAGCAATTTTAACATCGCACCTCGAACCCGTAGGCCTAGAGGATTGAATTTAATACAATTTACTTTGGCGATTGTTACGTTACTCTGCCAGTTTTAAGCCCTATGGGAGTCTGTGGCCCCCATTTAATTTTTGATCAAATTTGGGATCGTGAAATTAAATAACTCCTCCGTCTTATTAAGGTTTCCTTCCCTTGAAAATTTTTACAAGTCCATTTCAGGACCATTTCGACATTTCAAGGGTAATAGCGCTTTAGGTGCTCTGCGTTCCATCGGTGCGCAAGCACATTTCCTTCCAGATCAGCCAGCATGTACATTCCGGGTCGGACAATGCCTTTGACCTCGAACGGTCCCTCCCAACTTGGGTCGAGGGTGCCCACATGACTCTGAATCTTCCTTAAGACCAAATGTCCGACTTGAAAACTTCGGGGTCAAACTCGGGCGTTGTAATGTCTGGTCATTCTATTTTGATACTCCGCTAAGCGTAGCTGAGCCATTTCCCTTTTATCTTCTAATAAATCAAGGTTGAGGAGCAGCTCTTCCTCATTTCTTAATGGTTCGTACTGCTCTACCCTGTCTGTTGGCATGCCGATCTCGACTGGGACAACAGCTTCGGAGCCAAAGGCCAGTAAGAATGGGGTTTCACCAGTTGACTCTCTTGGAGTAGTCCGGTATGACCACAAGACTTCGGGTAGCTCCTCAGCCCATTTTCCCTTTCTGGAGTCCAATCTCAGCTTGAGTCCGCGTTTGATGATTTTATTTACTGCTTTGACTTGCCCATTTGCTTTTGGATGGGCAGGGGATGAACTGAGATGGCTTATGTTCAGCTTCCTACAAAAGTCTTTGAACCTTGCATTATCGAATTGCTTCCCATTGTCTGTTACGATGGCGTTCGGTATACTAAAGCGACATACGATATTTGTCCATATGAACGACGTGACCCTGAACTCTGTGATGTGGGTGAGTGCCTCGGCCTCGGCCCACTTGGTGAAGTAGTCCATAGCGACAACGGCGAACTTGGTTTGTCCTTTGCCCAGAGGAAAAAGACCTATAATGTCCACCCCCCATTGTGCGAATGGCCATGGGCCCGAGATGGTGGTGAGTAGTTCGGGAGGCTAATGGATAATGTTTGCGAAGCGCTGGCAGTTGTCGCAAGTCCTCACAAACTGCTTGGCATCCTGATCAACGGTGGGCCAATAATATCATTGTTGGACCACCTTGGCCGATAACGACCTGGCTCTTGAATGGTTGCCACATACTCCTTCGTGAATTTCTCTGAGGATGTAATTCCCCTCTTCAGGAGTTACACACTGAAGGAGAGGCAGGGAGAACCCTCGCCGGTACAATGCTCCATCTCGGAGTATGAACCGGACTGCTCTTCGTGCCATCTTCTTGTGTTCTTTTGAGTCTTGCGGTGGGTTTCCTTTGATAAACTCCACAATTGGATCCATCCATGAGTGCGTTGGTGTGTCAATATCCATCATGTCTGGATCCAAAATTGAAGGATTATCCAAGATTTCAACCGGGACCGATCTCGCTAGATCGGTATCGTACGCTGACACCAATTTGGCTAAGGCATCTGCGTTTGAATTCTCTGATCTTAGAACTTGATTCACCTCGTAAGTTTTGAACTGAGCGAAGTGCGACCTGACTTTACTTAAATATTTTTCCATCCGGGAGTCTTTGGTTTGATACTCCTCCTTGATTTGACTTACCACTAACTGGGAGTCACTGAAAAACTTAATGTGGGCGGCACCCAATCCCTTGGCAACACGGAGTCCTGCCAGAAGTGCTTCATACTCGGCCTCATTGTTTGAAGTCCGGAAGTTGAATCACAGGGCATACTCGAACCGCATGCCATATGATGCGAGCAAAAGGATTCCTGCCCCGCACCCTCTCTCGTTGGAAGATACGTCGACGTAGATCGTCCACAGGAGGTCGGTTTCGGCGAGCCGAGATGGTGGAGTGAGCTCCGTGATGAAGTCTGCAACTGCTTGCCCCTTCAACGCAGTTCTGGGTTCGAATTGGATGTCGTACTCGCTCAACTTTATTGCCCACTTCATCAGGCGTCCTGATGTTTCTGGCATGTGGAAGATGTTCTTCAACGGCAAGTTGGTAAGCACCACAATGGTGTGTGCTTGGAAATACGGCCTAAGTCTTCCGGCTGAAGTGACCAAAGCAAGGGCCAGCTTTTCCATTTGTGGATACCTGGTCTCAGCTTCGGTCGTGGCCTTACTTGTATAA